CTCTATGGAAACGCTGTTTTGTTACAGATCCTTGGCGTTTGGTCTCTTACAATGCCTTATTCATTAGGTTCGTGGGTTTGTTGTTTTACGCAGCGCTCAGCAATATTCTAGCTATATGACGGCGGTCTGTAAATAATCGAGTCTGGACCAGACAATCCAGCATCGATCCACGCGATTGGGATACCATGACATGTATCAACCAAGTCAGCGAGTTTGACCACCCGTCCCGTTAGTCTCCTCTTACGAAAAGCATAGTCACCTTTTACAGCAAGCATGGGCTGCAGCAGATCTATTCTAAGCCGGATCGTCACGGGCCAGACAGGGTAACAACAAGTACCATCTTTAACGTCTTTTGGTATGACACGGCCGGGGATCGAACCCCGGAGCTTCCGCTCTCTGGGCGGACGCTGTACCACTAGACCACGGAGGCGATCCCCAGCTTGTATAGGGTGTTGTCATATTGAAAGGTAATGCCTGGGCCATGACGACGCAAAAACGATAGAACAACAGGGCAGATAATCTCGTCGCGGTAGCGCTGTCCTTTGACATTTCCTTCTACCACTATCAAACGGGTCCTCTGTCATGCTGTAATCCCACCCCATACCATAACGCTGCCGCCCCCGAACCGATCTTCTTCCATGACACAATGATTTACGTAACGTTCACCTCGACGTCGATACATTCGAATCCGTCCATCGCTGTGGCTGAGGTGAAACCGAGACTCGTCAGAGAATAGTCAGTTTAACATGAATACCCCACTCAGGCACAGTATACTGACTCCCAGCCGACCAGTCCTTGTTTTAGCCCCTTAATGCCGAGCGCCAGACAGGGTAACAACAAGTACCATCCTTAACGTCTTTTGGTATGACGCGGCCGGGGATCGAACCCCGCAGCTTCCGCTCTCCGGGCAGACGCTCTACCACTAGGCCACGGAGGCGGTCCACAACTTGTATATGGTGGGTGATTTGGGGTTAACAGTATTCCAGTTATATCACGGCGTGTCAGCTTAATGTAGCAGGAAAGCCCGAAGTGATGCAGGTCTCAGACGTTTACCACTTCGGTGAAACCCAAGAGCACGGATATGGTGCTGACAAACCTAGGAACATAATCGGGGCGAACCGGGATTCGAACCCACAATCATAGGTTTCTGGCGTGCCCAAGGGACGCAACTCGGCACAGCGAATCGCGGCGCTTAGACGCGAACTTGTATAGAGGTTGAATTTTGATTTAAGGGAAGCATATATCCCACAGAAATACCTGCGTTTGCCAAATTTGTATTCATGTAAATCCCTGTTGAATTCTAATGATGGAAAAATAATTCTTAGGTTAGCACTATTTGTTCCATGAACTTTGCCGGAGCAAGGACTTTTTGTATCGTGACGTCACTTTGTAAAATAATTGTGAACATTATCTGAACTGATGTATTGTACTCACTGATATTATATCTTAGTTCTCTTGTTTGGTAAATGGCCCGGGGCGGTCGGGTAGCCTAGTTGTTAAAGCGTTCGCACGCCACGCTGAAGACCCGGGTTCGATTCCCGACATGTGTGAAGCCCATTTCTGGTGTCCCCCGCCGTGATATTGCTGGAATATTGCTAAAAACGGCGTAAAACCACACTCACTCACTCATTGTATGTGGGCCGAAGACCTTTAGTCCAAAAACCAACTTAATGACCTTGAAGGGGCGGTCGGGTAGCCTAGTGGTTTAAGCGTTAGCTCGTCACGCCGAAGACCCGGGTTCGATTCCCGACATGGGTACAATGTGTGAAGCCCACTTCTGGTGTCCCCCGCCGTGATATTGCTGGAATATTGCTAAAAACGGCGTAAAACCACACTCACTCATTGTAGGCCTTTAGTACAACAAAACAACTTAATGACCTTGAACAAGCGACTTGATCTTACATAGCGCAGTTCTGATTCTCGGGGAAAGATGTGTGCAATACCGAGCCTGTCGGGGCCTGTTTACTGACTGATAAGACGTAACTAAGGCTCGATAGGCATAACAGAAGCTTGATAGATTACGAGGGGTGGGCCTGCTTACAGTCTGCATTTGAACCAGATACACGACCAGGCAGTACATTTCTGCAGGCGTCTCTAGGCACACAGCAGGTGCAATTGACATAACTTTAGTATTCAATCTTACACGAGATTAAACCCTAATTTAAACTGTCTACACCGCACATGGCCACATACACGTGTGCACATCACTGTGTTCACCACACATGACCACATACACGTGTGCACATCACTGTGTTTACCAAATATGACCACATACACGTGTACACATCGCTGTGTTACCACAAATGACCACATACACGTGTACACATCACTGTGTTCACCACATATGACCACATACACGTGTACACATCACTGTGTTCACCTCACATGCCCACATACACGTGTACACATCGCTGTGTTAACCTCACATGACCACATACACGTGTACACATCACTGTGTTCACCTCACATGACCACATACACGTGTACACATCACTGTGTTCACCTCACATGACCACATACACGTGTACACATCACTGTGTTCACCTCACATGACCACATACACGTGTGCACATCACTGTGTTCACCTCACTTGGCCACATACACGTGTACACATCACTGTGTTCACTACACATGGCCACATACACATGTACACATCACTGTGTTCACCTCACATGACCACATACACGTGTACACATCACTGTGTTCAACAATTATGACCACATACACGTGTACACATCACTGTGTTACCACAAATGACCACATACACGTGTTCACATCACTGTGTTAACCTCACATGGCCACATACACGTGTACACATCACTGTGTTCACCTCACATGGCCACATACACGTGTACACATCACTGTGTTCACCTCACATGGCCACATACACGTGTACACATCACTGTGTTCACCTCACATGGCCACATACACATGTACATATCACAGCGTTCAACACACATGACAAATACACGTGTACACATCACTGTGTTCACCTCACATGGCCACATACACGTGTAAACATCACTGTGTTCACCTCACATGGCCACATACATGTGTACACATCACTGTGTTCACCACACATGACCACATACACGTGTACACATCGCTGTGTTCACCTCACATGGCCACATACACGTGTACACATCACTGTGTTAACCTCACATGGCCACATACACTTGTACACATCACTGTGTTCACCTCACATGACCACATACACGTGTACACATCACTGTGTTCACCACACATGACCACATACACGTGTACACATCACTGTGTTCACCTCACATGACCACATACACTTGTACACATCACTGTGTTCACCACACATGACCACATAAACGTGTTCACATCACTGTGTTCACCTCACATCGCCACATACATGTGTACACATCATTGTGTTCACCTCACATCGCCACATACATGTGTACACATCACTGTGTTCACCTCACATCGCCACATACATGTGTACACATCACTTTGATGATCTCACATGGCCACATACATGTGTACACATAACTTTGATCATCTCACATGGCCACATACATGTGTACACATAACTTTGATCATCTCACATGTCCACATACATGTGTACACATCACCTTGATCATCTCACATGGCCACATACACGCGTAAACATCACTGTGTTCACCTCTCGTGGCCACACACACGTGTACACACCAATGTGTTATTATGCCACGAAAATGATGAACAAGCTGAACAAGATGATATTGATGATGCAGATTTTATTTCTCTGAATAGGTATGGTTATATATATCGATAATCACAATAATCAACAAAGCAATGATTGGTTCTACTTAAGTGAGTGAGTATGTTTTTACGCCGCTTTTAGCAATATTCCAGCAATATGACGGCAAATGTGAACGAAGACTGGATGGCGTTAGCTCGTTATCAACACTCGAGTGCGTGAATTCACATTTCTTTCATTGACCAAACAGCTTTGAGAATAGAGAATAGAGAATTCTATGCACATGTAGAAAAAATGGTATTTAAAAAATCATAACAATTGATAACTCGAACCTTGTCGGTAATTTCTGCTCATTGTATAACGGTTTTAGAAGCACAATACCCGTTATTATTGTGTGTTGTATGTTCTGTAGAGTAAGAATCCTGCATTCCCTTCACGAAATCCAGAACTGTCTTGACAATCATGTGCTTCGTTGTCACAGTTGATTTGTCAATCACATTTGCTGTTAATGTTTGCTGGAACTAAATTCATATGAGCACAGTGACACAATTGAGCTCATGTCAAAATCAGTTCTTAACAAGGACATAGACTACAGGATAGACACCAAGGACAGTCCAGTGCATCAGCAGCGGCATGCCTCCATTAAATCCCTGCCTGCAGCACTGACACAACCCCCATGTGTCAACGCTTCCACACTTCTCCCCGATACTTTCCAGGTCGATGAGCAGACCTTTGTCATCTATTCTGACAGTGGTGACTTTGAAACTTTCATGAGGGGGAATAAGAACATCAGCTTCCGAAGTATACAATGAAAAGCCCGAGATGTCAGCTCCAAACGTAACTCCCCTCAGACGAATCAATGTTCCTTTGGCGCCTCTAAAACTTTCAGCTACCGAAGGTCTGGTAGAGGTTGAGGTGTTCCCTGGAAGACGCAGAGCAGTCCTTTGTTTTGCCGAGAAAATCTTCCCAGCACCTCTATACAGATATACCGCGAGGGTTTGCTTCACGCGAATCTTCCCGATGGCGGAAATCAAGAGGAAGTGAAACACTTGGAAAGATGTGTCATATTTGGAGGTATCGCTCTCTCTCAGTATTCTGTTGAATTCGCTATACACAGGTGTTGTGTATACCATTGCTGCTAGAGAGTCCTCATCCGTCAGGCCGAATGTTTCCCCCGCTAGGACTTTGTTATGTGGTGAACGCAGTGATCTGTGCACATGTGGAACTGGTGGTATTGGAAAGTCAGAACAATCGACACCTCGGACCTTGTCGGTCATTCATGCACATAATTAACATTGTAATTTCTGTAGACATATAAGAAAATTTCAGAATTGTCTTGACAATCATTTGCTTCGTGTACACGGTGAATTATCCATCGCATTTAGTATCAATTATGTGCTGCTACTTAATTTAAATCAGCACAGTGCCATAATGCGAAGTAATGCACCTGAAAATCAATTAACAATGACAAAGACTGCAAGAGGGACGACAAGGACAACCCAGCCCATCTGCAGTGGCACGTCTCCATTAAGTGGCTGTCTGCAGCACCGGCACGGCCCTCCTGTGTAGCGACGTCTACGGAGGTCATGGTTGACGGCTCCACACTTCTGCCCGATACTTTCCAGGTAGATGAGCGGGCCTTTGCCATCTGTGCTGACATTAGTGACTTTGAAACTTTCATAAGGGGGAATCAGGATTTCAGATTCTTTCGTAAGTACTGAGAAGCCCGAAATATCAGCTCCAAACATAACGCCCTTTAAACGAATCAATGTTCCCTTGTTGCCTCTAAAGATAGTACTATTAGCTACCGAAATGTTGGTTGAGGTTGATGTATACCCTGGAAGACGAAGCTCAGTCCCCTGTGCTGCGAAAAAAATAATGTTGACACCTCTGTACAGATATTCCGCGAGGGTTTGCTTCACGCGAATCTTCTCAATGGCGGAAATCAAGAGGAAGTGAAACACTTGGAAAGATGTGACGTATTTAGAGGTATCGCCCTCTCTCAGTATTCTGTTGAATTCTCCATACACAGCGTTTGTCGTGTATATCATTACAGCCAGGGATTCCTCATCAGTCATTCCGAAAGTTTTCCCCCGTGCAAGGACTGTAGCACGTTTCCTGGAAGTTTGTTGGTAAGCGTGTTTAAAGTTACTGTACTTGTTGACGACGTCCATCAGGGTCGTATTGAGCTGCCTGTATTCTGCTTCAGTAATAGAAGCATATATGCTTTTACTTGTTGCGGCTAGAGGAAGTCCTGACTCCTGAAAGAATATTGAATTAATGTTTGAATTTGAATATTTCATATCTGCTTAATGTACTTATTCAGGTCGAATAACACCTTTGATGAGAATATCTGCTAAACGTGCTCACGACAAAACTAGGGCGGAATCCCATCAGTGGCCTCCTCCCCCTATACCACATATATAGCAACGTGCATGCACGTGTGTGTGTGTGCGTGTGTGCGTGTGTGTGCGTGTGTGCGTGTGTGTGTGTGTGTGATAGTGCTCGCTCACTGAGATACCATGTCGCGGTTTATCATGAATACCTGACTCAGACACAGTATACTGAGTGCGAAGGGACTAGACAAGGTAACAAGAAGAACCATCTTTTGGTATGACGCGACGGCGGATCGAACCCCGGACCTTCCGCTCTCCAGGCGGACGCTCTACCACTAGACCACAGAGGCGGTCTTTATCTTTATAGATAAATAAGACGTAATATAGGACACACATGTTTCACTCATCTTCAACTTTATACACAAATACTTACAGCAGTGGAACACAGATGAAATCCACCTGAAGATAAAACAATGAAATCCTTGTAAGTACTTGCAGTTTTACGAATCTAAACCACAATCACTCCAACACAAAACTTCTGTACACATTAACCGATTAAGGGTCCAAGTGAAACAGTCAATGAAAACCTTTATTTCTTAAATGTTTCGATGTAGATCCTTGTACCCCCAACCCGGAGGACAATGTACAGACACCCTCCCAAGCCTTTCCCCACCTAACTCCGCTTTTATTGCATGGACAATTTACAGCCATTCCCCACCACTACTCCAAAACCTAAGGAATTCTGATTTTAATCTGACATCGAACTTTTGAACTGTTTCCTGGCTATGATTTGGTATTTAGTGTCCAGTCAAATGTTTCTCCTTAAAAACGAAGCGTTCGGGTTTAACGGGTAGCGCGGAGAGAGTCAGAGGCATCTTACCAATGAGAACCAGAAGCACGTGGGTGGCATGGAAGTCATTGGCCATGATGATCACTTCTGAAATAACAAAAGCATCAGGATCAATGTCACATATATTTCGTTAATAACACCATTGAATTTAACTTGCCGCATAAAGCTTAAGAACTAAGTAATAATGTTTTGTAGGTAGGAAGGGGTATAAATCTACATGCCACAAAGGCAACAGCAGATCCAAAATGGACGACTAAACGAAGGTGCCACAATAATTCGTTGTGCAAAAAAGACGTTGGCTGTTGAATACAGATTTTGTTGGAATATATAATGTCTGAAACTTGTTCACTTCGTTCAGGGCGGTGGGGTAGCCTAGTGGTTTAAGCCTCCGCTCGTCACGCCGAAGACCCAGGTTCGATTCCTGACATGGGTACAATGTGTGAAGCCCATTACTGGTGTCCCCCGCCGTGATATTGCTGGAATATTGCTAAAAGCTGCGTAAAACCATACTCACTGACTGATTTCGTTCAGGGCTTTGTAAACGGAAATATGGTTAATTTGAAACTAAATAGAAGCATGACATGAGGTTTGGTATCCCCTTTCTACATACAGTCAACATCTCAATGACGGACACAATATAGCTGGAATACTGACGATGTGACAGCAATATTTAACTCACTCACTCACTCAAGGGCTGCAAGGGCTGATATGGACTGACCACATTGCGATGCGTTCCTTTTATTATAGTCCTGGGCCCCGTTTCACAAAGCGATCTTAGTTCTACGTTGATCGTAAGCCTATAATAAAGAATGGGAGTTACGACCAACTTAGCGCTCAGTTCGCTTTGTGAAACAAGTTCCAACATCCATGACTGTGGAATATATATTTTTAGGTGATATTTTTTTACTAAAACCCTAGTCAAATCAAGATCCAATTAACAAAGTCTAGTTTGCTTTGGTATCTCCTTTCTATATACAGTCAACGTCTCAATGCCGGTACCAATTTAGCCGGAATATTGACAATGTGACAGCAATATTTAACTCACTCACTCAATGTTGGGTTAGCAAGGGCTTCAAGGGCTGATATGGATTGACCACATTGCGATTCGTTCCTTTTATTATGGTCCTGCACCATGACTGTGGAATTTATATTTTTTAAGTGATATTTTTTTACTAAGACCCTAGACAAATCTAGATAAAATTAACCAAGTCCAGTTTATTTGATTCCACATATGAAACAGCAGAAGAGGAAAGGTTCTTTCGAAAATATATTTTGATTATTTTAAAGACATGTTTTCACTGACTTAGTGTTAGTCTTTGAAAACAGCAGAAGAGGAAAGGTTCTTTCGAAATTATTTTATTATTATTTTAAAGACATGTTTTCATTGACTAAGTGTTAGTCTACTTTTATTACTGATTAATAATGTTTAATGCGACGACACACAATACTCACTTACTAGATCACTCATGATTCACGCAATGAGTGAGTGAGTATGGTTTTACGCCGCTTTTAGCATTATTCCAGCAATATTCACGCAATGCATGAACTGATGAACGCCGCTTTGCAGTTAAAATTCATAGCTTGTTTCATTCTTAAAGTACTTCCAGCCACACACATGAGGACATTCATCAATGCATCAAAATTAATATGTTTCTTATCATGTTATTAAATGGACATGAAATAATAAATGATTGTGTTTGTTGTTGTGTTAAGGAACGCTCGTTCCAGCCATAATACGACGGCATTCTGAATACAAGCGCTAGTTCAGAGCTGAAGAAACAGACATTGTTCCCTATTTCAATTCTCCAAATCATAATGCCGCCAGTTCTAAATTTGCTCATTTGGGTCATAAAAGGCTGTTTACTGAGACGGTGTTTATCTCTTAGTGATGTTGACCATATGGCTTCCAGTATACGATAAACACATAGGGTAGTAGATGTTATGTTGGGCTTTATTCCTTTTCTTTTGTACTTCATGCACGTCAAATAGAATAAATGGCAAGACTGGTTACCCATGTCAAATTATGTTCTCTACACCAGATGCATGTTTGTTGTTTAACGCTGTACTCAGCAATATTCCAACTATATGACGGCAGTCTGTAAATAGTCTGGCCAGACAATTCAGTGATTGATATCATGACCAAAGATCCAAGCAATGGGGGACACGATGACCTGCATCAACCAAGTCAGCGAGCCTTACAGAATCATACTCAGAAAATATGGTATGAACTCAAAGTTGTTTGCTCTCATAGATATTAAAGAAGAATATATATGATGTGAACAGTTCATATGGTGTGCTCATTTAATGATACCTGCAATTGAATGTGTTTGACCATGTAGGCCAGTCAAACCAGAATAACAGTAAGTGTCAAGACAGGGATGTGATCAGCAAAACAACTGATCATATCACATCACCAAATAGTTATAGACCTGTCTTCTCCCGGGTAAGTTAGCTCATAAGAAATAATGTATAGAAACATATATTTACCTCACTGAAATGTTTTGTGTGGACACCGAATCGTTCCCAGAGAGTGGCCTGTTGAACAAGCGACGAGAGATTATATAGTGAAGGGCCCACTTGCACAAAGCGATCTTAGCGCTAAGACTACCGTAAGCCTATGTTAACGTTTGGGAGTTACAATCATCTTAGCGCTAAGATCGCTTTGTGCAAGTAGGCCCAGGTCTGTTTCCTGGGGAAAGGCCTTCATTTTTTTCTCCGAATGACGTGCACACACACTTAGATTTCGACACTGTTTACTGTTATCAATGACCAATGATATACAGTAAACTACGGTTATAACGAACACGCTTATAACGAACTGACGGATATAACGAACTTACTTTTTGGTCCCGACTATTTGCTGTAGTTATGCTGTATATATGCTTATAACGAACTACGGTTATAACGAACTAAAATTAGTAGTCCCTTTGAGTTTCGTTATAACCGTACTTTACTGTAACTGGATCTTGAATTCATGAAATTGATTAACAGTTACAAAGGTTAATGGTTGATTGATAAAGTAAACAAGAGAAAGAGGCCAACTGTACATTGTGGGGTATAAATATACAGTGCTGATAGGATTCATTACATGGTACAGATGATAGCAGGAGGGATGAGTGTTTTATCAGGATGATGAGATGAGGTATCCTCAATCTCTGAAAGAAGGCTTTTGTCGGCAGATTTGAACTGATTCTGCTAGTTTTCGTTTGGTGAAATCATGGGCATTGTTTGAAAAACATGGAAAACATTTGAAAACATGAATAATTCAATGGCTAAATGTGACGGGGTTCAGATTGTGGCAATCCCCTGGCATATTTCTGGCTTATGTATGTCAAAAGGTTAATTCCCTTGGGTGTTAAGTTACTTTTTTAGGCGGTAACCAAATAACCCATTGGGCCTTTATTGTACGATGAATCTCATCATGAAGGTACTGTCACCCGCTATAGTTTTAATGCTAATGCTCACGTGGTTTTTAAGGTGAACAATTGGTAGTTTTTAAGGTGAACAATTGACTTGCCAGGTCATGTGTTTGTGACGCGTGAGGCAGGATAAGCTTACCTTTACGCGAGGTGAGGTGAGGTGAAATTGGGTTTAACGTCGCGTCCAAGATTATCGCACTTATATAGCGACGTGCATGCACGTGTATGTGTGTGTGTGGCAGCTTGTACTAGTCCGGACTGATGCCGATTTATAGTGCTAGCTCACTGAGATACCATGCCGCAGTTTAACATGAATACCCCACTCAGACACAGTATACTGACTCCGAGCCGACCAGTCCTTGTTTTAGCCCCTTAATGCCGAGCGCCAGACAGGGTAACAACAAGTACAATCTTTTAACGTCTTTTTGTATGACGCGGCCCGGGATCGAACCCCGGACCTTCCGCTCTCCGGGCGGACGCTCTACCACTAGACCACGGAGGCGGTCACCTTTACGCGAACACCTGGTACCATTACAATTTGATAGTGATTCATAAACACATTCTCGTGATGAAGTATGAATTGATTTCTTAAGGAGTCTTGTCGCTTCTATTGTCATAAAGCCTAAATAGTTTGTTTCTTGAATTAATTTGCTTTCTTAAATAATCCCAGCCACCACTGATATCAGGGTTGGACATAACAATGGAAAGGTACTGAACCATGTGAATCAAATCTCTTATTATATGTATCAAATGTCATATTTGTGATAACACTTTCTGAGTAAAGTGCAGATTCTTGTACCCCTCTGACAAGTGTAATCCCGAACGGAAAGTAGGAGAATCTGTACTTTACTCAGAAAGTGTTATCCCAAATATGATATTTGTTACATTTGACCACTTTCCAAATTGCATTGTGTGGTCATAGCTTTCGGCCATGGGAGCCGTGCCAATTTACACTTGTCAGAGGGGTACACAAAGTACGTGATCTAGACTACCAGTTGTCGGACTTTCATTTTGTGGAAGCCTTGGTGGCTGAGTGGGTTAGATCCTGACTTTGTGTGCTGACGGTGATGCAACCCCAAAAAGTACGGGAATCTGTTCTAACCCTAACCCTCACCCTAACCCTGCTTCAGCGGATAACCGAGACCAATTTTTCACTGGCGTTTTTATTTATGACCCTAATCCTATCCCTAACCCTGTTTCAGCAGATAACCGAGACCGATTTTTCTCTGGCGTTCTGATTTATTACTCTAACCCTTACCCTTACCCTAACCCTAACTCTAACCCTAACCCTAACTCTAACCCTAACCCTAACCCTAACCCTAACCCAACCCTAACCCTAACCCTAACTCTTACCCTAACCCTAACCCTAAACCTAACCCTAAACCTAAACCTAACAGCATGAGCAACCACCTGTCAGGAGATGCACTGAACTGCAGGTACTTGGTTCAAAAAGGACAATATAAGATACTTTTAAGATAAACATACTAAATGAGGCCGATGACGTCTCACATGTTTTCACCTCTTCAATTTCACCACTTCTCTCTTTAATTTGTCCTCCAGTTCAGATAATGATTTGATCAACGGAGGCATTGTGAAGCCACCCCGCCTGCGTTAACACAAACAGTAAGTCATAATATTCCCCGAGAATCAGCCACAACTGTGACTTGTCATGAATTGCATCTCATTTGATTTGCAAGTCACGCGACAGCAAGGTTCATAATGTCAAACCAGTCTCCGTATGATTATACGCCGCTTGTATCAATATTCCAACTAATTTACAGCAGGGACACCAGATATGCCCTTAATAAATATGTTGAATCGGATGTCTTTAGCATTGACAAATTATGCAACGAGGGTCTAGGTATGTGTTTGTAAAAATGTGGTGTACTTAAGAAATAAACGACGAGTGGGAGTTGTTCATCGTACTTATAGCTTTGAATAACCTGTAAAATATATTAAAGCACAAACAGTCAGCTGTTAAATAGCCATAGGGCGATGGGCAGTATAAAATATTTGTATTAATGTTTGACACTCACCAGCTTACATAACCAAGATCATACCTGATAATCACACCATTTTTCACAAAGTAGGTATTCCGAATGTTGGTAAAAACACTTAAGCACAATTTGTTGACACGCGAGTAGTACAAAATAATATGTAACATTCAAGAAAAAACAACAAGCATACCTTGTTTGTGAGGAAGTGTCAACTTGCCAAATATTCAGATACAATACTGAGATATACCTTGAATTGAAAAGAGATTGTTGCTCTTTTATGCAAAAGTGGTAACATATGATGCATATTTGAATCCCAACTATCAAGCTTAATTAATATTTTGGCTGCAAAATATAACGAAGAAAATTCACGTTTTCTGGCCATTGTCATGGCAAAACAATCTAATGTCAAATAGAAAGCTTAAAGCAAATAATGCCACGTCAAGACAGTACAACTGCATGATGAAAAAAATACATATGACCTTCTTTTCATCCTGTAAGTGCTTATCACAAGCTTGTCTAAAAATATGACTCCTGATTGTGACCAGACCGACAATAAAACACTGCGGGGAGAATAAACCATGAGGGCGCAACCCCGAGTGGTTTATTCTCCATTCAGTGTTTTATTGAACGATAAACAACGACCACGAGTCGTTTATTTCTTACATGAGAGATCAACGTTCTGTACAGCATTCTTAAGGATGATGATACAATGTACAAGCTTTAGAAATATTTACCCATATTTTAATAATGACGACTCCCTCAATAGAATCCGACATCGGCAATGTCGGACAAGTCCATTTCATGCACAGGTGGGTATTTTCCGCACATTCTCACAATCCTCACGTTGATGACCTGTACCTTTTCTCCCAATACCTAGTGTCACATCTCTCCCGCCTTCGGATGCGATCGTTCGGCCATCGCCGCTATCAGCGTAGCCATCTACATCTATGGGGATTAACTCACGAAACACTCTCCTCTCAAATATAACGTCGTCCACTTTACGACGTCAGCAAGCTGCGCCCCTCGTGGTTTATTCTCCCTGCAGTGTTTTATTGAACGATGAACATCTCACACTCGTCCTTTATTTCATAAATACAAAATACATCTCTGTCATTGTCACGCCAATAATATAACTAGGTCTGTGGAAGCGGTACGGATATTTTCATGATATTGTTAGCAAGACACGTGACGTCCGTATCACTTGTAAATGTGTGTCTTCAGAAATCATGTGTGAATGAGGGGCGATTAACACTGATTTTCGTTATTTAAAGGAAGCATCTCAGCTTAATCGAGGGAATAGCCAAAAGAAACTTTTGCCACGTGGATTAAACCCAGGGACACGGTGCAGACAAACCAACAAAAGAGGTCGAACCTTGGCTTCGAACCAACAATCAACCTGCTGGCAAATTATGGATTTTGTTTCTTTGTTTGTTTTTTGTTTAACGCGACAATCAGCAATATTCCAGCGATATGACGATGGTCTGTAAATAATAGAGTCTGGAAAGACAATCCAGTGATTGACATCATGAGCATCGATTTACGCAATTGGGATACGATGACATGCATCAACCAAGTCTGACCACCCGATCCCGCTTCGTCGACCCCATGAGCGCCCTGTCTCACATAACTCATTATTTGTGCGGGGCGGCCGGGTAGCCTAGTGGTTAAAGCGTTCGCGCGTCCCGCCGAAGACCCGGGTTCGATTCCCGACATGGGTACAATGTGTGAAGCCCATTTCTGGTGTCCCCCGCCGTGATATTGCTGGAATATTGCTAAAAGCGGCGTAAATCCACTCACTTACTCACAGGTTATTCCAACAACTCCCACTCCTCGTCTTTTCTTAAGTAAATCACATTTTTACAAACACATACATAGACCATCGTTGCATAATTTCACTCACTCACTCACTCATTATTTGTGTACACGTCGATTCAGTGCAAGGCTGCGGTGTGCCCAGCAGCAGATGGAAACACGACACTTTCTGAATGACAAACTCTTTAATTGTGATAAAAAGACAACAAGGCATACATTGTCATCAAGAAGTAAAAAAACACACAATAATGAATGAAGCAAACTGGAACACAAAGTCAAATATACTGATTGTCTTTTTCAACGACTGACAATGCTGCAGGTCTATGTGTAGGTCTCGCCACTGAAATGATGTCAAAACACTTGGATTGACAGAAAATATTTGCAGTCTGAAATTTGGGTAAATGGAATACTCTCTTGAAACGGGCCAAAACTTGCTAATTCAACGAAAATCTGTATACACACATGAAAATGTTTATTAAGTGGTACTGTACTGTATTGTTTGAACTGCTTGCTGTGGGATGAGATCACTATATACCGACCGTATGAACCATCACACAGATGCTGATGACATTCCAGTTCATCTGTTGCGGGACACGTTCATTCGGGGCTGCCCGGAATACAGGTAGTGGCTTTCTACAGCATCGGCACCGCTTCCTCCGTCGACGACCTCCACACTTGTCCCCAAAACTCTACAGGTCGATGAGGCGTCCTTTGAAATCGATGCTGATGTTGACGTCTTCTCCCCGATACTTTCCAGGTAGATGAGTGGGCCTTTGCTATCTGTGCTGACAGTAGTGACTTTGAAACTTCCATAAGGGGGAATCAGGATTTCGGATTCACCCGGAAATACTGAGAAGCGCGAGATATCAGCTCCAAACTTGACGCCCTTAAAGGGCAAGTTCACACGGAAATTAACCTATTTTTCTTGTACTTTTTCCACATTAAAAGTGTTAACCTAGAAGTGTCATAGACAAAAATATAAAAATATCACAATTAATTAACATATTTTTCGTATTAAAACGATTTATATTTTTCACATTTACCAAGTGTTCTATTTCCACACCAAAACTACCATGGCTTATGCCCCTTGCAATATGACGTCATTGGTGCCAATTGATAAACATTATGACGTCATCATGCTTTGTTAGAGCCGCTTCACGTGGTGTAGGTCTAGGTGTGTGATTCTAGCGTCTCAGATGCCAGCCAGCATAGTGTTATGCTGAGTCACCACTGCGCCGGAGTGTGTCGTAGGCCATGTTGTTTTACCGCAAACTGGTACTTGATATCTTTTGCGTTGAGGATAGACAGGGACCCAGTTGAATTGGCACCAATTACGTCATAATCTAAGGGGGATAACTCAGGCCTGTTTAGCTCGAAAAACGAAGGCCTCATAACGGCATATCATTTTCACACTATTGTGAGCTTCCTACTTTCACTGTGAAAAAAATGAGTGTATATTTTCAAACACAGATACTAATTAATTCTAAAATTGCGTTTTGTTTAGAAAAAGAAAGAAAGTCATTTTTGCGTGTACACTTCCCCTTTAAACGTATCAATGTCCCCTTGTTGCCCACTTTTATATATATGGAAACGTCATAGAACAAACCAGATGACGACACTATTGAACGTGACGTCACCTATCCCTGTCCTATGACGTCACTTAACAACGGGCGTGATAATGGCCCGTCGTCAAGTAATATGAGGGCATTATCAAGTTACAGTGGCCCGCGCATTCCTGATAACATGCGGGCGTTTTAATGATAATTCTATCCATTTTAGTTATAATGCAAAGTAATGCACCTGAAAATCAATTAACAATGAGATAGACTGCAAGAGGGACGGCAAGGACAGCCCAGCCCGTCTGCAGTGGCACGTCTCCATTAAGCGGCTCGTTAAGTGCCTTAAGTGGCTGTCTGCAGCACCGGCACGGCCCTCCTGTGTAGCGACGTCTACGGAGGTCATCGTGACCGGCTCCGCATTTCTCCCCGATACTTTCCAGGTAGATGAGTGGGCCTTTACTATCTGTGCTGACAGTAGCGACTTTGAAACTTTCATAAGGGGGAATCAGGATTTCAGCTTCTCCCGGAAATACTGAGAAGCCCGAGATATCAGCTCCAAACTTAACGCCCTTTAAACGAATCAATGTCCCCTTGTTGCCTCTAAAACCTTCAGCCACCCCCTTTTTGGTTGAGGTTGAGGTGTACCCCGGAAGACGCAGCGCAGCCCCTTGTGTTGCCGAGAAAATCTTCCCAGCACCTCTGTACAGATATACCGCGAGGGTCTGCTTCACGCGAATCTTCTCGATGGCGGAAATCAAGAGGAAGTGAAACACTTGGAAAGATGTGTCGTATTTGGAGGTATCGCCCTCTCTCAGTATTCTGTTGAATTCGCTATGCACAGCTGTTGTCGTGTATATCATTGCTGCTAGAGATTCCTCATCCGTCAAGCCTAACTTTTTCCCCATCGCTAGGACTGAAGCACGTTTACTGGAAGTTTGTTGGTAAGCCTGTTTAAAGTTACTGTACTTGTTGACGACGTCCATCAGGGTCGTATTGAGCTGCCTGTATTCTGCTTCAGTAATAGAAGCAGAGATGCTTTTACTGGTTGCTGCTAGAGGAATTGCTGACTCCTGAAAAAGTCATTGAATGAGTGTCTGTTACAACTTTGAACAGTATTCAAGCCTCATAATGTAAGAGACCGCCTCCGTGGTCTAGTGGTAGAGCGTCCGCCCGGAGGGCGGAAGGTCCGGGGTTCGATCCCCGGCCGCGTCATACCAAAAGACGTTAAAAGATGGTACTTGATGTTACCCTGTCTGGCGCTCGGCATTAAGGGGCTAAAACAAGGACTGGTCGGCTCGGAGTCAGCATACTGTGTCTGAGTGGGGTATTCACGTTAAACTGCGGCATGGTATCTCAGTGTGCTAGCACTATAAATCGGCATCAGTCCGGACTAGTACAAGCAGCCACACACACACACACACACACACACACGTGCATGCACGTCGCTATATAAGTGCAATAATCTTGGACGCGACGTTAAACCCAATTACCCTCACCTCACCTCACCTCATATTGTAAGAGATGGGTTTGTTGGTTGGTTGTTGTTTAACGCGCACTCAGCAATATTCCAGCTATATGACAGCGGTCTGTAAAATAATCGAGTATGGACCAGATAATCCAGTGATTAATATCATGAGCATCGATCCACGCACTTGGGGTCGATGACATGCATCAACAAAGTCAGTGAGCCTGACCGCCCGATCTGGTTGGTCGCCTTTTACGACAAGTGTAGTCGCCTTTTACGGCAAGCATGGGTTGCTGAAGACCTGTTCTACCCCGGATCTTTACGGGTCATAATGCAAGAGAGAATTGATGCATGGACCCCCAACTTGGGGTCATCTCCAATGGCCTGCATAATGCAAGAGAAAATTTATGCATGGACCCCTAGCTTTGGGTCTTCTCCAATGGTCTGCATAATGCAAGAGAGAATTTATGCATGGACCCCCAACTTGGGGTCATCTCCAATGGCCTGCATAATGCAAGAGAGAATTTATGCATGGACCCCTAGCTTTGGGTTATCTCCAATGGTCTGCATAATGCAAGAGAGAATTTATGCATGGACCCCTAGCTTTGGGTTTTATCAAATGGCCTGCATAATGCAAGAGAGAATTTATGCATGGACCCCTAGCTTTGGGTTATCTCCAATGGCCTGCATCATGCAAGAGAGAATTTATGCATGGACCCCTAGCTTTGGGTTTTATCAAATGGCCTGCATAATGCAAGAGAGAATTTATGCATGGATCCCTAGCTTTGGGTTATCTCCAATGGCCTGCATCATGCAAGAGAGAATTTATGCATGGACCCCTAGCTTTGGGTTTTATCAAATGGTCTCCATAATGCAAGAGAGAATTTATGCATGGACCCCTAGCTTTGGGTTTTCTCCAATGGCCTGCATAATGCAAGAGAGAATTTATGTATGGATCCCTAGCTTTGGGTTTTCTCCAATGGCCTGCATCATGCAAGAGAGAATTTATGCATGGACCCCTAGCTTTGGGTTTTATCCAATGGCCTGCATCATGCAAGAGAGAATTTATGCATGGACCCCTAGCTTTGGGTTTTCTCCAATGGCCTGCATCATGCAAGAGAGAATTTATGCATGGACCCCTAGCTTTGGGTTTTCTCCAATGGCCTGCATCATGCAAGAGAGAATTTATGCATGGACCCCTAGCTTTGGGTTTTATCCAATGGCCTGCATAATGCAAGAGAGAATTTATGCATGGACCCCTAGCTTTAGGTTATCTCCAATGGCCTGCATAATGCAAGAGAGAATTTATGCATGGATCCCTAGCTTTGGGTTTTATCCAATGGCCTGCATAATGCAAGAGAGAATTTATGCATGGACCCCTAGCTTTGGGTTATCTCCAATGGCCTGCATCATGCAAGAGAGAATTTATGCATGGACCCCTAGCTTTGGGTTTTATCAAATGGTCTCCATAATGCAAGAGAGAATTTATGCATGGACCCCTAGCTTTGGGTTATCTCCAATGGTCTGCATAATGCAAGAGAGAATTTATGCATGGACCCCTAGCTTTGGGTTTTATCCAATGGCCTGCATAATGCAAGAGAGAATTTATGCATGGACCCCTAGCTTTAGGTTATCTCCAATGGCCTGCATAATGCAAGAGAGAATTTATGCATGGACCCCTAGCTTTGGGTTTTATCCAATGGCCTGCATAATGCAAGAGAGAATTTATGCATGGACCCCTAGCTTTAGGTTATCTCCAATGGCCTGCATAATGCAAGAGAGAATTTATGCATGGACCCCTAGCTTTGGGTTTTATCAAATGGTCTGCATAATGCAAGAGAGAATTTATGCATGGACCCCTAGCTTTGGGTTTTCTCCAATGGCCTGCATCATGCAAGAGAGAATTTATGCATGGACCCCTAGCTTTGGGTTTTATCCAATGGCCTGCATAATGCAAGAGAGAATTTATGCATGGACCCCTAGCTTTGGGTTTTCTCCAATGGCCTGCATCATGCAAGAGAGAATTTATGCATGGACCCCTAGCTTTGGGTTTTATCCAATGGCCTGCATCATGCAAGAGAGAATTTATGCATGGATCCCTAGCTTTGGGTTATCTCCAATGGCCTGCATAATTCAAGAGAGAATTTATGCATGGACCCCTAGCTTTGGGTTATCTCCAATGGCCTGCATAATTCAAGAGAGAATTTATGCATGGACCCCTAGCTTTGGGTTTTATCCAATGGCCTGCATAATGCAAGAGAGAATTTATGCATGGATCCCTAGCTTTGGGTTATCTCCAATGGCCTGCATAATGCAAGAGAGAATTTATGCATGGACCCCTAGCTTTGGGTTATCTCCAATGGCCTGCATAATTCAAGAGAGAATTTATGCATGGACCCCTAGCTTTGGGTTTTATCCAATGGCCTGCATAATGCAAGAGAGAATTTATGCATGGATCCCTAGCTTTGGGTTTTCTCCAATGGCCTGCATAATGCAAGAGAGAATTTATGCATGGATCCCTAGCTTTGGGTTATCTCCAATGGCCTGCATAATTCAAGAGAGAATTTATGCAGGTCATTGGACGTAACCCAAAGCTAGGGGTCCATAGATGTAGATGATGATATAATTTAGGATAAGGTACGGAGAAATAGTGTTCAACATCGAGTTCAAGATTACTGCACTTATATAGCGACGTGCATGCTTGTATGTGTATGGCTTCTTGTAGAAGTCCAGAATAATGTTTCATAGTTCTTGCCATTTTTTAACGTCTTTTGTTATGGCACGACCAGGGATCGAACCAGAGAACTTTAGCACTCCGGGCAGACGCCCTCTCCTCTGGACCAGAAGGTGGTCGATTTAAGAATGGTCAGCCTCACTTCACTTCTATTCTACGTTATATCAGAACTTAATTAGCAAATACTTACAGCAGTGAAGCACAGACGTAGTCCACCTGAATGAAGGGAAATAAAAAAACGTATGTAGGAACTTTATAGTATTCGCCCAGCTCATGTAAACCACAATCACTCCAAGCCAAATCTTTATTGTCTGAGGGGCGGTCAGGTAGCCTAGTGGTTAAAGCGTTCGCTCGTCACGCCGAAGACCGGGTTCGATTTCCGACATGGGTACAATGTGTGAAGCCCATTTCTGGTGTCCCCCGCCGTGATATTGTTGTAAAATCCTTTAAAACGGCGTAAAACCATACTCATTCACCCACTCACTCAAAGTTTTAATGTACGTCAGTTTAATCTAACTAGGTTTCCCGACTCACTCAGGCACTCAATCACTCACTCACTCACTCACTCACTCACTCACTCACTCACTCACTCACTCACTCACTCACTCAATCAATCAACCAATCAATCAATCAATCAATCAAAGTTCAATGTAAATCAGTTCAATCTAACCAGATGTCCCGAGGTTAGGTCAAATGCAGCAGGCACCTCTCGAAGGTGAAAGTTTCTGGTCATATGTAAATTTCATTTACAAGATAATTATTTTACTGCGTTTTATCCTTGGAGGTGGTCAATTACACTGCATTTTTACAGGAACCATTTATGTATGTAGTATTTCGTGTAAATGATTCTCCAAACACGCCTTAAATACCCTACTTAAGACAGGTGCAGACTTACCGCAGAGTATCAGGAGCAGATGGGCGACTAGGAATGTGTTGGCCATTACTACACTCTCTGAAATAACAAAAGTATCAGAATTAGGATCATCAATATCACAATGCCTAATAATAACAATATCTAGCTAAATGTAAGTGAGCGAGTGAGTTGGGTTCAACGCCGCTTTTAACAGTGTTCCAGTGTATTCTAAAGTAAACCACATTTTTACAAACAGATACATAGACCATCGTTGCATCATTTGTCAACACTAAAGACATTCGATTCAACATATTTATTAAGGGCATCTCTGGTGTGTCCATTGTGAAATAGGTCATACTATGACTGGTTTGACATTATGAACCCTGCTGTCACGTGACTTGCATATCAAGTGAGATTCAATTCATGAGAATTCACAGTTGCGGCTGATTCTCGGGGAATATTATGACTCACTGTTTGTGTAAATACAGGCAGGGTCGCTACATGATGCCCCCAGTAATCAAACAATTATCTGAACTTTTGTTCTCATTGAAGTGGTGAGTGAGTTAGTGAGTGAGTAAGTGAGTGAAGGAGAGTTCAACTTTTGTTCTCATTGAAGTGGTTAGTGAGTGAGTGAGTGAGACCCCTACCGCAATGTGATAAATGATAGGAAATAATAAATCTCAAGAACATGATTTAAACAACAAAACACATAAAATACATGGTACAATATTCAAATGTCATTTACAAGTACTTTCTCTGATAAAACCGGCTAAGGCATTAATGTATTATACATTAGTTTAAGCACGATAATATGGTGTACTTCGGAAACTTCTATTTCTCAAACAACCATCTATTTCTTTATTTTATGCAGATCTATGATACACACATTTCACAAATAGACCTTCTCACGTTGACAAGTTCTGCTTTATGTCCATTTTACAACATTTAACACCTTTGCTACATATTCTTAGTAACCTTTGGCTTTACGTTCAAGCCTCTTGTAATATTCTAATAGCCAAATCTCTACATAATGGTGTCACTACACATATCTGTGTACACCGAAGTACTGAGCATTGCTTGTCCACTTTTTTTGTATATGAGACCGCGATATATTCAAAGAAGAACTTGATTGATGTGTTGTTCTACATTTGTAAACTGTATGGCATTCGCAGACTGTATGACATCCACAAACTGTATGACATTCACAGACTGTATGACATTCGCAGACTGTATGACATTAACAGAAAGTATGACATTCGCAGACTCTATGACATTCACAGACTGAATGATATTCGCAGACTGTATGACATTCGCAGACTGTATGACATTAACAGACAGTATGACATTCGCAGACTCTATGAAATTCACAGACTGAATGATATTCGCAGACAGTATGACATTAACAGACTCTAAGGCATCCACAGACTGTATGACATTCACAGACTGTATGACATTCGCAGACTGTATGACATTCGCAGACTGTATGACATTCACAGACTGTATGACATCCACATACTGTATGACATTAACAGATTGTATGACATTCGCAGACTGTACGACATTCGCAGAATCTATGACATCCAGTCTGTATGACATTCGCAGACTGTATGACATTAACAGACGGTATGATATTCACAGACTGTATGACATTCGCAGACTGTATGACATCCACAGATTGTATGATATTCACAGACTGTATGACATCCACAGGCTGTATGACATCCACAGACTGTATGACATTACCGAGACTGTATGACATTCGCAGACTGTATGATATTCACATACTGTATGACATTCACCGCCTGTATGATATTCACAGCCTGTATGACATTAATAGATGATATGATATTCACAGACTGTATGACATTCACAGACTGTATGATATTCACAGACTGTATGACATCCACAGGCTGTATGACATCCACAGACTGTATGACATTCGCAGACTGTATGACATCCACAGACTGTATGACATTAATAGATGATATGATATTCACAGACTGTATGACATTCACAGACTACAATATTCACAGACTGTATGACATCCACAGGCTGAATGACATCCACAGACTGTATGACATTCGCGGACTGTATGACATTAACAGACTGTATGACATCCACAGACTGTATGACATTCGCAGACTGTATGACATTAACAGACGGTATGATATTCACAGACTGTATGACATCCACAGACTGTATGATATTCACAGACTGTATGACATCCACAGGCTGTATGACATCTACAGACTGTATGACATTAACAGACTGTATGATATTCGCAAACTGTATGATATTCACAGACTGTATGACATTAACAGCCTGTATGACATTAATAGATGATATGATATTCACAGACTGTATGACATTCACAGACTGTATGATATTCACAGACTGTATGACATCCACAGGCTGTATGACATCCACAGACTGTATGACATTCGCAGACTGTATGACATTAACAGACGGTATGATATTCACAGACTGTATGACATTCACAGACTGTATGACATTCACAGCCTGTATGACATTAATGGATGATATGATATTCACAGACTGTATGACATTTACACCCTGTATGATATTCACAGCCTGTATGGCATTAATAGACGATATGATATTCACTGACTGTATGACATTCGCAGACTGTATGATATTCGCAGGCTGTATGACATTCACAGACTGTATGACATGCACAGCCTGTATGATATTCACAGCCTGTATGACATTAATAGACGATATGATATTCACTGACTGTATGACATTCGCAGACTGTATGATATTCGCAGGCTGTATGACATTCACAGCCTGTATGCCATTTGCAGACGTAATGTTGAAACCTTGCGCCTTCCTACATTGGACGCCTAGGGTGGGATACGACAACACAATGTTCTCTACTTTTGAATGACATGGAAATAATAAAGATAAGACATGTACCTTGCTGGCGGTCTGTCTGTTAGAGCTGTATCACCGAATCACTGTGTCCCAGGAATGATGCAGGCAAATGAGCGAGGAGGACATTTTTAAACGATATACATTCCCAGTAAAAACGTTTCAATTTCTCGAGAATAGGACGGAAAAATAACACTTACTGGTTGGACAAGCTTCATGATCTAAATATATAATACAAAAGTACTTGGTTCTACTTTCTGTTTGTTTCTACGTCGTAACATATTACTGGCAACGTTGTCTCATTAAAATTGTGACCCGGATCTTCACGGAGGGCGTCGTTATCGACCATTGTGTGTGAAAAAGGGTGTCTTCTTTTTTAACACCGCACTCAGCAATATTCCAGCTATATGACGGCGGTCGTTAATAAGTCTGGACCTGTAAATAGTCGAGTCTGGAACAGACAATCCTGTGACTGACATCATGAGCATCGATCCACGCAACTGGGATACGATGACATGCATCAACAAAGTCAGCGAGCCTGACCACCCAATCCCGTTAGTCGCCTCTCATGACAAGCCAAGTCGTTTTTTTACGGCAAGCATGTCACTTATTCTAACCCTCCAATACATATACACGAAGGTCTTTCGAGCAATTTTGAGATATAAAATATACCCCATAAACTTTGTGTATGTTATTGAAGACACATTAAACAAACAAATTAAAAAAATAACTCAGTGGTATTTTATGTTGATCATATTTGTTATCAATGAGACGGGTTTCCCTTTGACTACCTTTGACTAATTACTGAGTTTGCTTGCGTGACACCATACAAGCAAGAATATGCTTAAATTAAGTGTCATTTCAATTAGCCTTCAGCAATCCATGCTTGCCGTAAAAGGCGACAATGCTTGTCTTAAGAGGCGACTAACGGGATCGGGTGGTCAGGCTCAGTGACTTGGTTTATGCATTTTATCGATCGTGGATCGATGCTCATGATATCAATCACTGGATTGTCTTGTCCAGACTCGATTATTTACAGACCGCTGTCATATAGCTGGAATATTGCCGAGTGCGGCGTTAAACAACAAACAGACAAACAAACATTAGATTTGGAACATTTGAAAGCAACGGTAAACTTTCCCGGGTCCTAAAAATCAACCTGTTATATATCTGTGCGGAGTCCATGGCCGAACAGGTCCTCTGTTACGCATGCTGTAAGAACGGAACAGGGTGACTGCGTGTGTGTCACAACAACCTGACTGCTTGGAGCGTTACGCAAGCTTTCATTCATTGTTGCCCGACCCAGGTTAGATAATGAACAGACTGCTAACTTGCTAACTCATCCTCCTCAGGAATAGACTCTTCTCCCGAACGCATAATCCCCCATTCTGCGTCGTTCACATGACTACATAGCTTTTGAGTCAATTTCTGAAGTGAAATTTAACCCTTTTCACTTCCGAGAATGTTTGACAATAATGTCTGAGGATTAATAAATGACAAAACCCTTTCCCCAATTTTAAGAAATCAGGGGGCACGGGTGGCCCAGTCGTCTAAGGCGACGCGATTCGCTGTGCAGAATTGCGTCCCTTGGGCACGCCAGAAACCTATGATTGTGGGTTCGAATACCGGTTCGCCGCGATTATGTTTCTAGGTTTGTCAGCACCATACCCGTGCTCGTGGGTTTCACCGAAGTGGTAAACGTCTGAGACCCGCATCACTTCGGGCCAGCCTCCCACATTAAGCTGACACGCCGCGATATAACTGTAATATTGTTAAAAGCGGCGTTAAACCAAACTCACTCACTCACTCATTTAAGAAATCCATTGTACTAATCTGACTGCATCAATCACAACAATTTAATTCTTTAGGTGTGGACACCCAAATGACTATACCGTTGAATGTGCTATACACCGTTGAATGTGCTATACACCGTTGAATGTGCTATACACCGTTGAATGTGCTATACACCGTTGAAGGTGCTATACACCGTTGAATGTGCTATACACCGTTGAAGGTGCTATACACCGTTGAATGTGCTATACACCGTTGAATGTGCTATACACCGTTGAAGGTGCTATACACCGTTGAAGGTGCTATACACCGTTGAATGTGCTATACACCGTTGAAGGTGCTATACACCGCTGAATGTGCTATACACCGTTGAATGTGCTATACACCGTTGAAGGTGCTATACACCGTTGAATGTGCTATACACCGTTGAAGGTGCTATACACCGTTGAATGTGCTATACACCGTTGAATGTGCTATACACCGTTGAATGTGCCAGCTGACTCTACTTCGCCTGAACACAGTCCATCGATTGACACGCATCTTATATATTGGTTGGCTGACTTTTTGAGGGGCGTCGGGTAGCCTAGTGGTTAAAGCGTTCGCTCGTCACGCCGAAGACCGGGTTCGATTCCTCGGTACAATGTGTGAAGCCCATTTCTGGTGTCCCCCGCCGTGATATTGCTGGAATATTGCTAAAAGCGGCGTTAAACCAAACTCACTCACTCATTCATTTAAGAAATCCATTGTACTAATCTGACTGCATCAATCACAACAATTTAATTCTTTAGGTGTGGACACCCAAATGACTATACCGTTGAATGTGCTATACACCGTTGAATGTGCTATACACCGTTGAATGTGTCATACACCGTTTGAAGGTGCTATACACCGTTGAATGTGCTATACACCGTTGAAGGTGCTATACACCGCTGAATGTGCTATACACCGTTGAATGTGCTATACACCGTTGAAGGTGCTATACACCGTTGAATGTACTATACACCGTTGAAGGTGCTATACACCGTTGAATGTGCTATACACCGTTGAAGGTGCTATACACCGTTGAAGGTGCTATACACCGTTGAATGTGCTATACACCGTTGAATGTGCTATACACCGTTGAATGTGCTATACACCGTTGAATGTGCTATACACCATTGAATGTGCCAGCTGACTCTACTTCGTCTGAACACTGTCCATCGATTGACACGCATCTTATATATTGGTTGGCTGACTTTTTGAGGGGCGGTCGGGTAGCCTAGTGGTTAAAGCGTTCGCTCGTCACGCTGAAGACCGGGTTCGATTCCCGACATGGGTACAATGTGTGAAGCCCATTTCTGGTGTCCCCCGCCGTGATATTGCTGGAATATTGCTAAAAGCGGCGTAAAACCATACTCACTCACTCACTGATTTTTTGAAAGTCTCAACAGATCACTGTTCTGCGTCCTTCACATGACTACATAGTTTTCGAGTCAGTTTCTGAAGTGTAAGGTAACTTTTTTCATTTCCTCGAATATACCCAATGAGTAATAAAGGTGTCAAAACCTTTTTCATAATCATCAAAAAATTCTGTTAAAAACGTCGTCCATTGTACGACTACATCAACCAATTAACACTACAAACGTGGACATCCAAATGACTCTATCCAAGGGCTGGGACGTGTCCAAATTTACTACCCGGATACCCACACCCCTATTACCCGACCCTACCCGGGTACCCGCTATTGGTGTCAAGAGATAGGTACAAAATGTCCGATTTGGGAATAGTTTGTCGGTAGCTCTGGCAAAATGTGTTTAGAGACATGTTTTCAACGATGTGGTCATGCATACGCTGAAGTTGACTGTGGTTTTAGCTTTGTTCAAACACACATAAGTCATGAAGAAATGCGAACATTAAAGACTTAAAATGGTCGTGTAACCATGTAGTTATATAGTGAATTTGTGTCATGAAGCAAAATATCACGTGACTAACCACGGGTCCGGGTAGTCCTGTGGGTACCCGGGTCCTACTCAGTACCAACCCGACCCGAGTACCCGAGTTACCCGTCCCAGCCCTACACTCTACCCCTTTAAGTATGCGAGCTGTATCTCAAATACAGAGAGCAGCGAAAAAGATGAAGTTGGCTTCATCATATGATGTTGATGCTCAGCGACATTTATGGCGTATATTTTACATCGAAGAGTGAGTGAGTGAGTTGGGTTTAACGCCACTTTGAATAGTATTTCAGTCACCTGTTAGCTTTATGTGGGAGATAACAGATGAAGCTCTCAGACGAAAGAGATCGCTGATGGACCGGGTGGTGAGTGAGTGAGTTGGGTTTAACACCACTATTAACAGTATTCCAGTTATATCAGGCGTGTCAGCTTGATGTGGGAGGAAAGCCCGAAGTGATGCAGGTCTCAGACGTTTACCACTTTGGTGAAACCCACGAGCACGGGTATGGTCTGACAAACCTTGAAATATATACAGGGAGAACCGGGATTTAAACCCACGATCAAAGGTTTCTGGCACATCTAAGGGACGCAACTCTGCACAGTGACGACTGGGCCCCCTATGCCCGCTATATACATAGAAGATGGCGTCATACTCTAGTTATTGTGTGTGTTGATCTAGTTTGTGTTGAATTCATTTATTTGACTGCATTATTTTGTGAAGATACAACTGCATCTGGCAATTAGAGTTGTGAAAAAATGTCAAAATGATAGAACGACGTTAATCATATAACTGATAGTATTATCGATCAGTTTGTTTGTTTTGTTTATTTGTTGTTTAACGCCGCACTCAGCAATATTCCAGCTATATGACGGCGGTCTGTAAATAATCGAGTCTGGACCAGACAATCCAGTGATTGATATCATGAGCATTGACCCAAGCAATTTGGATACGATGACATGCATCAACATAGTCAGCGAGCCTGACCACCCGATCCCGTTAGTCGCCTTTTACAACAAGCATAGTCGCCTTTTACGGCAAGCATGGGTTGCTGAAGACCTATTCTTCCCCGGACCTTCACGGGTCTATCATAGATGAGAAAAACCAATCTGATAAATGTTTTCTGAACATAAAACACTATCCTGGATATATTATGTCATTGTGTGGCTGAAATGAATGGCAACAATCGACCAGACAGATCTTCACAATACACCTTTCACAAAGCTGATATACAATACGCAGTAAGCTCTACACACAGATCTTTAATTTTAAGGCTTGTGTAGAGCAACCTACATTTCCTATCCATGTTACCATGACCTAGAACATGGTAGCTGCCCAACCTCACTAAAATCAGATCTTAGTTCTCGCTATCGCTAAACATAGATCTGAGGACATCCGGTCACGAGTCAAGTCAGAACGACCTGCCCGGAGCGCCAACAAACGGCCGAGTTCCGGCCTACAACTGAAACTGTTCACTTCAACGTAACGGCGGGCATTTTGTGAACCCGTTTTCATCACTTCTGGATACAAACGGTTGGTGACTTCGTGAACTCTCTATACTCAGGTCGTACGAATGAATTTAAATGGTTGTGCACTATAGCATCATATTTATGTCGCACTGTCGTATTAATTACGACCTGTCGGATAGTTCGTACATGATCAGTACTTTCATGTCATCCTTGTAGCTTTGTCCCTTGATTTAGGGACCGGGAGAAGGTTGCTACATGCTATTGAATTATGAACTTCTTGGATTTCACTTCTAGTGACACACTCCAACATGTCGTGTGCGGAAATTCAGGTCACACGTGCATTTGTGTGTTGGGGTCTACAGATACAGGCTTGGTTAACACACGATATCCGAGATTTCAGCGTACACTCTATAGTTATTCAACAGCCCTTGAGAGAGGTCGGGGTTCACTGACGTTCCAAAGCTCCTGTGAAGCTGCGGACAGACTTAGTCTTGCGTTGCATCTAGAGTTACCTCAGGGCAGCAGGGAGGCACATAGCTTCAGGGGATGTTGAGGACTGGGTGAGTCAACAGGTGCAATGTGTACATTGAACAGAGTAGAAGCGGGTCCAGGATTAGGAACCGAGGGGCGAGGATGTAAGTGGGGGTGGGGGTGGGGTGGAGGTGGAGGTGGAGGTGGAGGTGGGGCGGCTGGTTGCTGCTCTCTATTTCCAAGTCTCGGGGTGTGGTGGGCTGTGTCACGGGGTGTTAAGCGTGTGTGTGTGTGGTGTTGTGGGGGTGTGGGGTGGTGTTGCTGCACATTATCCCCAAGTCCCGGAGTGTGGGGTGGGGCGGGGCGGGGGCGGTGGTTGATGCACACTGTTCACTTTACCTAACTATCGGGTTGGTGAGTTAGGGGGGGGGGGGGGGGGGGGGGGAGAGGGGGGGGGGGGAGCCGGGGGGGGGGGGGGGGGGGGGCATTGGCTGCACAATATATTCAAGTAGGTGGGGCTGGGGTGGTGGTGGATGCCACTTCACAAAAGTCTATAGGTGGGGACGGAGTGGTGGTGGATGCACACTTTACCCAAGTCTATAGGTGGGGACGGAGTGGTGATGGATGCACACTTTACCCAAGTCTATAGGTGGGGACGGAGTGGTGGTGGATGCACACTTTACCCAAGTCTATAGGTGGGGGCCGAGTGGTGATGGATGCACACTTTACCCAAGTCTATAGGTGGGGACGGAGTGGTGGTGGATGCACACTTTACCCAAGTCTATAGGTGGGGGCCGAGTGGTGATGGATGCACACTTTACCCAAGTCTATAGGTGGGGACGGAGTGGTGGTGGATGCACACTTTACCCAAGTCTATAGGTGGGGGCCGAGTGGTGATGGATGCACACTTTACCCAAGTCTATAGGTGGGGACGGAGTGGTGATGGATGCACACTTTACCCAAGTCTATAGGTGGGGACGGAGTGGTGGTGGATGCACACTTTACCCAAGTCTATAGGTGGGGGCGGAGTGTTGATGGATGCACACTTTACCCAAGTCTATAGGTGGGGACGGAGTGGTGGTGGATGCACACTTTACCCAAGTCTATAGGTGGGGGCGGAGTGTTGATGGATGCACACTTTACCCAAGTCTATAGGTGGGGCCGAGTGGTGATGGATGCACACTTTACCCAAGTCTATAGGTGGGGTTGGAGCGGTGATGGATGCACACTTTTCCCAAGTCTATAAGTGGGGGTGGAGTGGTGATGGATGCACACTTTACCCAAGTTTATAGGTAGGGGTAGAGCTGTAGTGGATGCACACTATACCCAAGTCTATAGGTGGGGGCGGAGTGGTGATGGATGCACACTTTACCGAAGTCTATAGGTGGGGGCGGAGTGGTGGTGGATGCACACTTTACCCAAGTCTATATTTGGGGCCGAGTGGTGATGGATGCACACTTTACCCAAGTCTATAGGTGGGGGCGGAGTGGTGGTGGATGCACACTTTACCCAAGTCTATAGGTGGGACCGAGTGGCGATGGATGCACACTTTACCCAAGTCTATAGGTGGGGTTGGAGTGGTGATGGATGCACACTTTACCGAAGTCTATAGGTGGGGCCGAGTGGTGATGGATGCACACTTTACCCAATTGTATAGGTGGAGACGGAGTGGTGATGGATGCACACTATACCCAAGTCTATAGGTGGGGCCGAGTAGTGGTGGATGCACACTATACCCAAGTCTATAGGTGGGGACGGAGTGGTGATGGATGCACACTTTACCCGAGTCTATAGGTGGGGACGGAGTGGTGATGGATGCACACTTTACCCAAGTCTATAGGCGGGGGCGGAGTGGTGGTGGATGCACACTTTACCCAAGTCTATATTTGGGGACGGAGTGGTGATGGATGCACACTTTACCCAAGTCTATAGGTGGGGGCGGAGTGGTGATGGATGCACACTATACCCAAGTCTAAAGGTGGGGCCGAGTGGTAGTGAATGCACACTTTACCCAAGTCTATAGGTGGGGCCGAGTGGTGATGGATGCACACTTTACCCAAGTCTATAGGTGGGGCTGAGTTGTGATGGATGCACACTTTATCCAAGTCTATAGGTGGGGGCGGAGTGGTGATGGATGCACACTATACCCAAGTCTAAAGGTGGGGCCGAGTGGTAGTGAATGCACACTTTACCCAAGTCTATAGGTGGGGCCGAGTGGTGATGGATGCACACTTTACCCAAGTCTATAGGTGGGGCCCAGTGGTGATGGATGCACACTTTACCCAAGTCTATAGGTGGGGACGGAGTGGTGGTGGATGCACACTTTACTCAAGTCTATAGCTGGGGCCGAGTGGTGGTGGATGCACACTTTACCCAAGTCTATAGGTGGGGACGTAGTGGTGATGGATGCACACTTTACCCAAGTCTATAGGTGGGGACGGAGTGGTGATGGATGCACACTTTACCGAAGTCTATACGTGGGGGCGGAGTGGTGGTGGATGCACACTTTACCCAAGTTTATATTTGGGGCCGAGTGGTGATGGATGCACACTTTACCCAAGTCTATAGGTGGGGCCGAGTGGTGGTGGATGGACACTATACCCAAGTCTATAGCTGGGGCCGAGTGGTGGTGGATGCACACTTTACCCAAGTCTATAGGTGGGGGAGGAGTGGTGATGGATGCACACTTTACCAAAGTCTATAGGTGGGGGCGGAGTGGTGGTTTGATGCACACTTTACCCAAGTCTATAGGTGGGGCCGAGTTGTGATGGATGCACACTTTACCAAAGTCTATAGGTGGTGGCGGAGTGGTGATGGATGCACACTTTACCCAAGTCTATAGGTGGGGGCGGAGTGGTGATGGATGCCCACTATACCCAAGTCTATAGGTGGGGCCGAGTGGTGGTGGATGCACACTTTACCCAAGTCTATAGGTGGGGTGGAGTGGTGATGGCTGCACACTATACCCAAGTCTATAGGTGGGGACGGAGTGGTGATGGATGCAAACTATACCCAAGTCTATGGGTGGTGACGGAGTGGTGATGGATGCACACTTTATCCAAGTCTATAGGTGTGGGCGGAGTGGTGATGGATGCACACTTTACCCAAGTCTATAGGTGGGGACGGAGTGGTAGTGAATGCACACTTTACCCGAGTCTATAGGTGGGGCCGAGTGGTGATGGATGTACACTATACCCAAGTCTATAGGTGGGGACGTAGTGGTGATGGATGCACACTTTACCCGAGTCTATAGGTGGGGACGGAATGGTAGTGGATGCATACTATACCGAAGTCTATAGGTGGGGCCGAGTGGTAGTAGGTGCACACTTTACCCAAGTCTATAGGTGGGGCCGAGTGGTGATGGATGTACACTATACCCAAGTCTATGGATGGGGACGGAGTGGTGAAGGATGCACACTTTACCCAAGTCTATAGGTGGGGCCGAGTGGTAGTGGATGCACACTTTACCCAAGTCTATAGGTGGGGCCGAGTGGTGATGGATGCACACTTTACCCAAGTCTATAGGTGGGGGCGGAGTGGTGATGGATGTACACTATACCCAAGTCTATAGGTGGGGGCGGAGTGGTGAAGGATGCACACTTTACCCAAGTCTATAGGTGGGGCCGAGTGGTGATGGATGTACACTATACCCAAGTCTATGGATGGGGACGGAGTGGTGAAGGATGCACACTTTACCCAAGTCTATAGGTGGGGCCGAGTGGTAGTGGATGCACACTTTACCCGAGTCTATAGGTGGGGACGGAATGGTAGTGGATGCATACTATACCGAAGTCTATAGGTGGGGCCGAGTGGTAGAAGATGCACACTTTACCCAAGTCTATAGGTGGGGCCGAGTGGTGATGGATGTACACTATACCCAAGTCTATGGATGGGGACGGAGTGGTGATGGATGCACACTTTACCGAAGTCTATAGGTGGGGCCGAGTGATGATGGATGCACACTTTACCAAAGTCTATAGGTGGGGCCGAGTGGTGATGGATGCACAGTATACCCAAGTCTAAAGTTGGGGCCGAGTGGTAGTGGATGCACACTTTACCCAAGTCTATAGGTGGGGGCCGAGTGGTGATGGATGCACACTTTACCCAAGTCTATAGGTGGGGTGGAGTGGTGATGGCTGCACACTATACCCAAGTCTATAGGTGGGGACGGAATGGTGATGGATGCAAACTATACCCAAGTCTATGGGTGGTGACGGAGTGGTGATGGATGCACACTTTATCCAAGTCTATAGGTGTGGGCGGAGTGGTGATGGATGCACACTTTACCAAAGTCTATAGGTGGTGGCGGAGTGGTGATGGATGCACACTTTACCCAAGTGTATAGGTGGGACCGAGTGGTGATGGATGCACACTTTACCCAAGTCTATAGGTGGGGGCGGAGTGGTGATGGATGCCCACTATACCCAAGTCTATAGGTGGGGCCGAGTGGTGATGGATGCACACTTTACCAAAGTCTATAGGTGGGGTGGAGTGGTGATGGCTGCACACTATACCCAAGTCTATAGGTGGGGACGGAGTGGTGATGGATGATAACTATACCCAAGTCTATGGGTGGTGACGGAGTGGTGGTGG